TAAGAGCCTTGCTACAGGAGGGTTCTTGGCAGAGGGGTGATGTCGGCAGGAAAAACACCAGTTCCCATTGACAGATAGTCAGAGGATGAGAAATATCCCTCCCTTACACACAGAGACACCACCTTAGGATAGGCCTCCTATAACACGACAAGGAGAGATTTTACATCCTCATCTGGATATCATCATGGAAATCAAGGAGTTTAGAAAGCCACTTTATAACCCTGAACATCAGAAAAAAAAGAAACACGCAGTGTCTCAGATATTTTGCTCAAGAGATGAAGTGTCACAGACTTCTAATGGGATTCCAACAAATTCCACTATACAAACACAAAATCTGGCTTTAACTCTTCCTGTGCTACCAGCTTCAAGACTTACAAGCAGATTGTTACTAAGACCTTCTATCGAACAGCTAAACGCAAAAAATTTGTTGGACTGATTTTGGCCAAGACTTTCTTTCACCCCTTCTCCTTCACTCCAAAGCTTGGCTCTCCCTAATGGTGCAGAACTAGGGCAGGTACTAGCAGAGAGAGCAGAAAACTGAGCTGCAAGGATGGGTGGGAGAATATTGCTTTTTGTTGCTTATCTTTGGGAATGCAGCAAATGTCTTCAGGGACCTTTTCTGAACTGAGATCACAGGAATTTGCTCAGACTTTTCTGTCCAGCACCCTCAGATTGTGCAGCGGTGGACTGGATGACAGTTTTGCTAGCAGGGAACCCAGTTCTCAAGTCCCTGTTCAGGGTTATGTGTTTCCAGACTGGCATGAAACTAAGGAGGAGCAGACAGAGCCATAGGGGAAACATCAAAAAGTTCCCTTGGAATAATCCTCTCCATGGAGAGGAGCTCAGGGAGCTGTAGGCTCTTCTGATTATACCTTCCAAATCCCAGGGATCACTAAGGAAGGGACTGAGCTGTTATTTCCCTAGCAGCCTCACTCTGAAAACGACACCCTCTAACGCCTGCACACACAGAAAAGGATTCAGTACTGGCTATGCCCTTGGTTTTCACATATGTAATAAAATAGGTGTGTTTGCAGTCTAGAGAATCCCCTGCTGCTGCAGTGTTCAGCAGCTGGGTCATATCCTCTTAAATAATCAGTGACTCCGCTAATGATACTTCTTGAAGTCTGTGTTCTTAAAAGCAGCCAGCTAGAAGTGCTTTTGTGCAGTTACAGCCTGTGTGATGATTAGAGATGATAAACATCATTATTTTGGGTCCCGACTGCCTCTGCTTTCTTCGTTCTATTGCTGTTGTGTAAAATACAATCTCAACATTACCAGTTCGACTGGCAGAAACACTGTTAAGACACAGCTTCCTCCTGAAGGAATAGCCAAATCTTCAGGGAAATGAACCATATGAAGCACTGATCTGCAGCTGTAACTGACTCCTGCCTCTTGAACCATGAAGTCTTTAAGATGCACCTGAACACTCTGCAATACCAAGGTCAGAAGAGTAAGAGAGGAAGAGGAGATGGGTTTCATTACTTCAGATGTAAAACTGACAGGCAGCAGAGCATGAGCACTGCCTTCTGCTCAAAGCAATGCTCCAGTGCAGATATCACAGAACTCAGGAATAGGAAGCTGAATAAAATTAAGTTTCCTAAAGCAGCAATATGTCCCATTAGGCTTGTGAAGGCACGTGTGAAGTTGTGGGATTCCTGCACCAGCCAGGATTTGACTGCCTTCAGATCTGGACCAGCAGATGCCTCAGGTTGTGATCCAGAATTCAGATCGCTAACTTCTGCCTTATAAGACTTACTAATCCACCATCTGACAGAGTGCAGTTGCTTCCCAACCACTCTAATAAACAGACAACACTGCTAATCCATGTAGGGAGGATGTCACTGTCCTCTCTGTAAAAGATGGGATAAGCCTACTAAAGCTGTCCAGTCTCTCCCTGTCACCTGGTCTCTCCCTCTACTTCCACCAGCGTAAGGCTTCCTCTTCCTCCCCACCTTCCTTTCTGAGACCTTCAACCAAATGCTAAAGGGAATTCCCTCCCACAGTCTTTCCCATGCTGCTCTGCTATCTGCTCATCACCTCTCTTTTCTCCCCAGAGTGCTTAATTCTCCCCCATTTTAGTTCTTGCCTACATCTGATATTGTGTGCTATGTTGGCTTGGAGAACAGAACAAATAATCAAGTCTCAAAAATAAGATGTAAGAAAGACTCTCATGCTGGACTCCAAAGTGGGACTCCAGCTCTGCTCTGCCCCACAAGCCCACATGCCCAGAGCTCTGCACAGCCAAAGCTGGCTGCTGTGAGCTCTGCTACGTGCTGAGCAGCCACACTCAGATGTGGACTCATGGAGCAGGTGAGAGACAGCAACTGTATGCCATGACACCTAGCAGGGACCAGCACACAAGCAATAACTGATAGAAGGCCGAGTCCCTTGCTACAGTCTTCCAGCATCTTCCCTCTGCTGTCATACGGTCCTGTTTGTACGGTCCTGGGCTGTAAACTCCCTTTCACATGGTCCCTGCCACATGCTGAGAGAGACAGAAACAGCAAGGCCTAGACAGCCTGAATGCAGCGTAATCATTCCTG